TAACATGAATTTGCAGCATCCTATTTAATAATATGCAAGAAAATATGCAATGTTAATTTTACCTTGTTTGTTGTGTATTATACGTGAATTATTATAGTATATTTATATAAAGCAAAATTCTTAATTTGACAGTGTATTACGTGATAACTATAACTACCACATATATCCTAATAGACTCCCTAGAAAGGTCAAAGCTTTATCTTTTATTTGCATATTTGATGATATAATTAGCGTGAGTAGTTATTGAGTAATTAACTAAAATGTAAGACGTGTAAATGAAAATAGAAAAATTGATGTATCTCGATCATTAATAAACATTACGTAACGACAGTTATATCAATAGTTGGGCAATAAAAAAGCGTTTTTGCGCATTTGTAAAATAACTATAACTTTTTATAGTTTTTGAGTTAATTTGAAAAAATAAAACGTGTAACATGTAAAGTAACTTATATTCAAAAAAATGTGAAATTGACGATTTTTTTTTGTAAATAATTAATATTATTTTATAATTTATAATAATAATTGTATAATGAACAAAGATAAAGTAATAATTATGTTACAATTAACAAAAAAATCTATCGATTAATTAATTAAAACGTGAAGATCTAAATTATCAACTTTGACAGCTTCTTGTAAAAGAATGGTAAAAGCCACAGAAGTGCCAATAGATTCATTGGAAAGATCATAGATTTTTCTTTAATTAAAATTTTTGATAATATGAAATTATTGTGTAATTAAGTGTTGATTCTGAGAAAATTAATCAGAAAATGTAATTATACTTATATATTATATAACGATTCGATGTAATTATTAATGCGAGGTTTGTGATTAATTGCGATGCGAATTAATTTTGGATAAGCTGTGTTATTATTTCGACGTCGTCGTTATGAATAATGCGAAAACGCCTGCAGATTTGCAGAATAATTGCATGCAAATCGGATCGAGCATAAATGTTTAGCAAAGCAGCAGGTTACGTTCATCAGAGTAATTCGATTTCGAAGGATGCATCCTTATTGATAATCAAATTGTAAACAATGCATTCGATGCACGTGCAAAGGACGAATTACCAATTGATATATTGGAATTATTAATGACGCCATCTGTTTTTCCATTTATCAACTAAAGATTTTGTACAAAAATATACAAAAAAATTCACTACAAAAAATTCCTTGTAACATTTTAATATACGTGCTGAGGACAACTTTTCATTGTTATACTGGAATTATTAATGACGCCATCTGTTTTTCCATTCATCAACTAAAACATTTGTACAATAATATCTAAAAATTTTCACAACAAAAAAGTAGTTGTAAAATCTTGATGCACGTGTTGAGGACAAATTATCAATTGTTATAGTGAAATTACTAATGACGCCATCTGTTTTTCCTTTCATCAACTGAAAATTTTATACAAAAATTATATAAAAATTTTCACTACACAAAAAAAGTTGTAAAATCTTGATGCTCTTGCATTATCAATTGTTATAGCAAAATTATTAATGACGCCATCTGTTTTTTTTTCATGGATCAACTAAAAATTTAGTACAAAATTATCTAAAAATTTTCATTACCAAAAAATTAGTAGAAAAATCTTGATGCTCATGCTGAGTACAAATTATCAATTGTTATAGTGAAATTATTAATGACGCCATCTGTTTATTCATTTATCAACTAAAAATTTAGTACAAAATTATCTAAAAATATTCATTACCAAAAAATTAGTAGAAAAATCTTGATGCTCGTGCTGAGTACAAATTATCAATAGTTATAGTGAAATTATTAATGACGCCATCTGTTTATTCATCCATCAACTAAAAATTTAGTAC